TCTGATTGATTCGAATTTTGATCATATAGTTTCATGATTCAAGAGTAACCTGAGCCAAAACTAAACTTCTATGGTTGATGTAGAATAAATGGATTGTGGCTAGAATTGGAATTCAGGAACCGTGTTTCGCTATATTTGAGACTCATCGCTCGGATGCACGTGAATCTTAGTGAGTTGATGTTCGTTTTGCGACTTAAATTCAATGTCGTTCGCTTCAAACACCACTAGCTTATCCACTTATCTACTGAGTCCTACTATCGAATTGATATGTGTCTACAATCGTCTGATCACTAAAGATATTTCATGATAATAATATTAGTCAAGAACTTAAGAAGACAGGCAAAACTTTATTTAAGTCACTTTTCCCGATACTTATGTTCACACTTCTAGATGATTGGAGAGACTATCTTCAATGCTTATATGATGTAGAAATGAGTTTCTTAATTCTACCATAAACATATTATATCAGTTTGTTTAGATAGTTTTGTCTCTGAATGAATCTCATCTTAGATTCAATAGTCATTATTTATTTTTGCAATTATATTGACTGTGTTCAGCAACTGATATTGACTAAGAAAACTAGTCAATATAAATAAAATTTGTCAACATATCTGGTATGTGACTAACAGTGGAATTCAGGACAAGTGTTTCATCCCATTTGTAACTCATCAGTTGAATGTACTTATCAAACCCCGGTGTTAGTTCTCATATCAAGACTCGTACCCAGTGCCTTCCACTTCAAAAGCCCAATATATTACTTGCTTAACTTGTCGTTTGTAACCATAGTTACAGTTGCTAGTTGCTACCGTAGACAAAATATTACCCTAAAAAGTTAGGGTAATAAAAATGATGAAGATAATAAATAGGAAGGGGTTAAGAAGGAAAGAACCGACTAGTCTATTTAAACATGACAAAACAATAAAATACAAGTTTCATTTAAAAAAAGACAATATACTGAAGCAATTAAATAGACAACACAAATACACATACACACACTTTGGTATTTGTGCTTGTTATTATTATCTTCGATTTTCTTTTCATTTTTCATCATTTTGGTGGTCAGTGTCTATTTTTCCATTGGAGCCATAAACACAAGAAATTTTTTCTTTTAAGCTCAGTGGTTGATTAAGATAAAGTCACTTGATGAAAGATAACACAATGATGTGTATTTTTTTTATTATATTGTCGCTCTCTACACTGTCAGTCCCATGTACTGCTACTACTACTACTACTACTACTCATCAACCACAACCACCACCACCCCTTCAACTCAACATTACCACCTCTTAGTGGTTAAATGCCTCAAACGTCTCAATTGTTGAAAGACATGCAGTTAAACGTAAGTAGTCCAGACAATTGACTTAATATTAATAGAAGAATAAAATCAGGAAGTTTTATATGTCTGTTCATAATGAAGATGGGACACTTGGGGGTAGTGGTGATAAAATGAATTATATGTGTTTAATAGAATGATATTTAACAGTGATAAATGAAAACAAGTTTAAACTGGATTTACACAGTTTTGATTAATTTAGATGAATACATAAGTATTCGTGTATTTGTGTGTGTGTGTGTGTGTGTGTAGGTATTGTTCACACACATATATGTATTATCATTTTGATCAGAAGCGTTTGTCATAATAATAAATTAAGACATACAGTTATGATTAACTTTCACATCTCATTTTTTTGCACTCACTCTTTTGATGATGCTTTCTGATCGAATATATTGGAAAGGAACGGAAGATGAATAAATTCACTATTAATAATAATAATAATAATAATAATAATAATAAACGAATATTCATCGAGTTCAACACTCAACATGTACATGAATAGAATTATTGTAAACAATGAAAAAAACAAAACAAAGAAACATGAACAATAAAGAATTAACTGTCACAATCATACTTTCTGTCTGGTCTCATGAAAAATCTAGTAATAACAATATTACTGAGATCAAGAAATAAACCAGGACAAACAACTAGTAAAAACCTGGTCGTGTACCTGAATACATTCTAGATCTTGCTCTTGACAGTTATACTTAGGATCATCTGTTTCGTATATGAATGCTTAATCTTTAGATCAATGAATAAATATTCAATGGTGTAAAGGTTTAATCAAAATCATTTTACAATGTTGTTTGAAGTGGATAATTGTTTCATACACGAAGCGGTACTTTCAGAAGACAATGGAAGTTGGTGGCACAGTATTGCGGATTGATTGAAGTTAGAGTTAGACTTCACCTGAAAGAAAGGTGATTTTTACGATAATTATACTGTAAAAAGTGAATGTCATAGCCTTAAACCGGGTTGGTAAATACGGAGAGTTAAAATAACCTGATTTCAAATCAGTGCTATGCATGGGCCACAAGATCCTCTGAGGAATAATGGTGTATAAACTTATTTTCATTTACCAAGCACACTAACACATTAGTCCTTGACGTTAATCCACTGCCTTGTAGATTAGACGTTGAAGTGAAATGCTTAAAGAGTGACCATCCAATGTTACTTTGGAAATCCCTCCAAATAAATACGATAATGAATAACAATTTAAAAAATTTATCTTAGTTGACAGAAAGCTATTTCGTACTGATTTCCAGTCATCTGCATTCTCCAAAAATTGGTTACTGTTATCATGTATGTATCCTAACCAACAAGCCTATATATCTTCCGATATGATTCAGTTGACTGATTATTAACTCTGTAGATAGACACTCTATCTTGTTCTGACTGTTATAGCCTTTTTCTGAAATATTATTATGCTAATCATCATTAGATGAACGTGTAGTTGGTACTACAGTATATATGTATTTATCATGTTTGTTTAACCTCAGCATTACTGACAAGATAATCCAATCATCTACTTTACCAATCTCTGTTATTAAATAGTTGAATCTTAAACATACTGAAGATTAGTGCATAGGAATTTACTACCTAGTATTTTCATTGTTTGTTAAAACGACAAATCTTTCATCTAATGCCAAAGGTAGTCAACCTTTAATAGTTATAAACTGTAAATGGGATTATCAGATTGATTAACTATTTCCCAATACTTATTGTCTACGCAAGATACTCATTGTCCGTTGATCGGAAACCATCAGCAATGGCCTACTGTGGGAGAGAAAAAACCAGCTTCCAATTGAAGAGGAAATTAGCAAAAGAAGATGGAAGTGGGTAGGACATACATCCATAGTTTATATCAAGAACCAGTGTTAGATAGATAACCAATAAAAACTGAAACGAATCGGAAAGTTGTTTCATGGATAATAAAATGATTGAACCGAGGAATTACAAGTCTTATGAGTTGACATTTAGTGATTTACATATCTGAATTTCATCAACTTTACATTATACACAGTCAGTCGTCTTCGAATGGTTGAATTCCACTGATCATGGGTCTATGTAGGGACACTTAAGAAAGACTTACTCATTCCAAACATACAATTCTAACTAACTTTTGTTTTCATATTTATTTTCGCCGTACATAGGTTGTAAGTTATTTACTAAAAATATTTTCTTACTTTGTTTCCTTTTACTTTTATATGGCTAGTGAGTGGTAGATATTAAAATATTAATTTTCCCTATCACTGAGGATTCTACATTGCCAAAGACTTATCGGGTCCTGAGAATATCAATAAAGACAAAATAAGAGTATTTTTTAAAAATTGATTACATAAACAAGTTATATTCTATTCAATATATTATTCATGAATTCAGTTTTATAAACAAAGATGAATGGTGACTAGCAGTGGAATCTAGGATACGCATTTCGTTTTATTTGGAACTAGTCAGCTGGATGTACCTGTATCTCAAAGTTAATGTTTATTTTAGTACTGGAATCCAGTACTGTTCGCATCAAACGCCATCGCGTTATCCACCCAACTACTGAGTCCTGATAAGCACTTGCTTGTTCAATGAGGTGAAGTTTAAATTCATTTGGTATTTGTAGGTATCATTACCAAGGTTTGATCTAATAATTTCAAATAAATTATTCTCTGAAGAATTGGCTCATATTGTGTTACGAAAAGTTAGAAATTCTAATGGTTCTGCTGATTGGGATATATAAGAATATATTATTTATTTATCACTTGGTATTGTTTTACCTAAATCTTCCGATTATTGTTTAGGACTTTAAGTGAATTTTGTGACATCGGGGTTCATGGATGCGCACTGCTGAGGAGTCTCATACTAGGACGAAACCGCCCTCCAGTGCTTCCAGGATTTCCATGGTGGTCGAACTTCAATTGACTCATGATTTCAACTGGTGAAATTTCTAAAATCTCAACAAAACCCCTTCTAATCATAATCATCTGCTCACTAGTGACTGACTTCAAGAGGCATTTCCTGAAGTTCTAGTGAGAAGCCGTTACTAGTGGAGTTCAACTGGGTCTGTTGTGAGATATCAGCTCACTGAAGACAATGGTGTACGGTGGCGCAATTTCGCGGATTAGTTTAAATTAGACATTAACACCTTTGGATGTCTGATCAGTGGTCTAGAGGTTAGGCGCTCGCGCGTGAGACTGATAAATCCTGGATTCGAATCTCGTGGGGGGCGGGATCGTGGATGCTCATTGCTGAAGAGTCTCATACCAGGACGAAACGGCCCTCCAGTGATTCCATGTTTTTCACGATGGTCTAACTTCAACTGACTCATGATTTCAACTATTGAAACATCAATTTATTCACATAAACTTACAAAGGGGGTTGCTAATCATTTTCTTTTTCACCATTGGTTAATTTATTACGGCCGAATCTAATTTCTTATTGGTTAAGAATTATTAAATAAGAAACAAATACAGATTGCATTTTTCTGATTGGTTTATTTTAAACGTCAATTAATTAACGAATCAAAGAAGTAAACTATTAATGTTTTCCTGTTATTTATTATACCTTGAACAATCATAGATTCATAACACTTTGTGATAAGTTCTTGTATATTAATTTATATGTACTGAAAGTAATTGAATTATTCAGCATAAAAGAAGGAAAAAGGATAACTATGGAATATTTAACAAACCCAGATATAAACAATAATTTCTTTATCAATAATACAAATAATCATAATCTTAATGGAAATAATACTGTGTGCCTTTCACCGACATCATTAAATTTCACTAATACTTCATATTATTCACCACATTTGATTAATTTCCCTCCGGAACAAATCAATTCCGAATTCGATCATCATCATCATCAACAACAACAACATCATCATGAGAATGTTAAAACAAAACTGAACGATAAATTGTTAATGAACACAAAACATCCAACTCATGATGAAGTTAATAATGGTGATAATATGAATTCCGTTAATATACATGAGGATAACTTTGATAGTTTAAACATTGTTAATTCCAGTATCAGTAATACAACTGCGAAGAAAACAAGAAACTCTGTTAAAACTCGTAAGTCATATTGTTTTGATTTGAATGTCTAACTGTTATGTATATATATATATATATATATATATATATATATATATATATATATATATATATATATATATATATATATATATATATATGCAGTGAAGTGTGAAATCAGCTAAAGAGGAAGTTGTATTAGTAATGGTTGTGTTGATCTTGAGGCATGACCAAAGAACTCAAGGAAAAATTAGTTGTAGCTTTTCGTCAGAAATTTGTAATATATTAGCTACAGGATTGATGGAAGAGGAAGATAAAGTGTGACATTTTTAGTGCAGACCTATTCTAAGAAATCTGTACAGAACTAGGATCTGTCGGTCCTTCATGATAACCTGGTTGTTGTCTTATAGATAATGTAACTCAGTCATTTGACGTGTTATCAGATATTGCCGCCTAGAATAGAATCCAGTGTAACAATTCTCTTGAAATTTTCTTTCTTCTATGAAATAGTGCTTTTTTCTACTTATTTTCACTCATTTAATTATATCCTCCTAATCATACTCACCTCTCTTTATCTATCACTACACAACATCATTTTCTCATTGTGTGGTGTATAATTATATGAGCGTAATCGTTGTTGACAGTGGTATTCAAATCTGAAATATACGATGATACTCAATTTAAAAAAAAAACTCTATTTCGATCTAAATTTCATTAGCCATCGATTCAAACCATCATCATAGAAACTTACATTTCGATGACAATTTAAATGGAGATTGTAAAAATAGAGGTGACACCAACTACTGAGTTAAGGAATTTGACTAGAATAGTTGTGTACATTTGATAAATCAAAACAGTTTTTTCTTGAATACTCAACTTTCGGAAGTCAGAAAATGTAGTTAATTTCATTCTTGTCACTCCTGGAAATTTGGATCAAATAGTAGTCTGGATTGGAATGATTGCTTCAGTCATTTTTGAGAGATGGTCATTGATAGAACGTACTTAGTCACAATATTCCAACTATTAGATTTATGAGCGTTTTTGATTTTTCGTTGTTTATATTATGAACTGTAACTGATCTGTCAACATTGATACATGAGGATAATGCGCAGATTACTTCAATATTGTAATTTGATCGCCACCTTATATTTAAGAAAGTTGAATTTTTGTAGTCCCTAACGAAAACAACAGGGACAACCGAATGCTTACAGATCAAATTCCGATCCATTGTCGGTTATCAGTTCCGGGGGTAACGCACTGAATTTTGAAGCCGTAACTACTGGGTTTTGGTCTCGATGTGAACAACTGAACATGGATGCAGGACTATGCAACGGAAGAGTCTTAAATATGACGACATGTGAATATCCCAATAAATCACAAAATTACTTCCATGATTTTCACCATTATTGTCAAAGGTTTAAATCATAATGAAATGAGAAGAGGACATTTATCAATGAAGTTGGATATAAGTGGGAAATATTGCTTGGATTTTCTTTTGTGAATAACTATTTCCATAGGATTTCCGACTGGTTCTGTTGTCGACTATTAACCGCTTTCGTTCACGGTTGATTAAAATACCGTTGAAAAGGAACATGTCAAATTTGTCGAAACTTTGACAACAGAGATAGATAAATAGAAAATGAATATTTGAATGTATTCGATTGATTTTCCCAAATATGGAATTACTGTTTGCTGTGTGAATGTGTGCATGTGAATGTTGAACTAAAATACTAGTTAATTTCTATAATTACCGACAGTTGACGAGCTACAGTTCATCTTCATCTTTCTCTGAGATGTATTGTGTATTCTTCAATCTACTTTTGCTAAATCGATTCATTCATAATATTGGTGCTTTCTCGATTGTATTGTAGTTATGTAATAATAGTCATCGTCATAATATTCATCTCATATTCAACCACAAATATTATCAATATTTAAACTCTGAAGTAACTAGTCCAATGAAAGTGTATTATGCAAATCTAAATTCAATTAATTCGTGGTAATGCTTGACCATGTTCCATCGAATCGAGTGAGCGATTGTCTCACACTTGACTCGTTTGAATTACACTAGTCACAACTTATCAAGGGTGTACACCACTCAACGATCTCATCATGTGAGTAATGTAACAAATATTCTGTGCTCCCTTGTTTCACATATTGTCAACTTCTATAGAATGAACACAATTAGGAGAGAGTTTCAATAAACTGAAATGATGAATATATGAGTAAATATAGTTGAACATATCATTGAATTCAGTTACCATGGTGTTATGTTGTTATCGTCATCCTTCTCATCCCCAACCTCATGTCATTGTTTAAATAAACAAATTGACCAGTGTTCAGCAATCAGTTTATTTGTTCCTTTTATCGTGTAGATGAACTATGTGAATGTGACAAGGTTTGATATCCACAAATTAATTATACATGGATTGAGTGTTTGTCAAGCAACAAATCTGATTCATGCAACATATTCTTCTCCATCGACTAGTTTCCAACTTGTTGATATTGTTTACAGACCATCCCCACCATCCCACCTACTGGATAATCAACATATTGACCACTCACTACTTGTTTGAGTGTTGATACTGTTATCGTGTAAAGTGTTTACATGAAAGGAGAGTTAGAAACACACAGTGATGTATACACGTATCATAATGCAATTATGGTCAAACATTCTGTGTTTACTCAGGAGATTGAAGAGTACGATGTTCTCGTGATCTATTGTCACTTGTTGAATAATTTCATGTGATTATGAAAACATGGCGAATGTGAATCAGTGTTCATTATCCAACCATTCTAATTGGTGGAATGAAGCTGTGAATGTTTCTGTGTATGTTGTGACGTGTTGTGTTCAGTGTTGTTGTTCATTCGAGTGTACAGTACAGTATTTTCCATTTTATAATTGTCAATTTGTTGATGACAATTTGGAGGTGTATGGAATAAGACATGGAATCAGTTAGTTTGACACCATCTCTCCATCTTATTTATAATGAGTTGAATTGGAATTATGATGCGTTCAGTGGAATTATCATTCTATAAGCGAATACACGTATCAGAGTTTGTTATAATTAGTTGGTGTATCTTGTGTTTTCAGCGAGTGAAATGAACACGACTTTGGTATTTTCGTTATCTGTAACGGTAGATATTCGGAGTTTGACCATAAATATTCTAAACGTTGACTAGTATGATTGTAATCGAAATTTGTGCTCAAAGTGTCTAGACGAATGTATTTTTGATCAGTGAATTATAAATTTACCTTAAAGGCAGTTGATTTTACATTGCTGTTCACAAGAACAAGACACCATCCAGTCTTTTAATCTTGTATCTAAACAATACAACTCAATCCCAATTGAAGTCACACAGGTACCAAGAAACCTGGTGTGCACAGTATATAAACTCTCGCGCTCTATGTCGATAGTTGCTGGGTTCGAATATCATGGGGCTAGATCATAGATTCGCACTTCTGAAGAGTTCCATACTAGGACGAAACGACCGTCCAGTTCTTCCAGGTTTTCCATGGTTGTCTAGCTTCAATTGACTTATGAATTCAACTATTAACCTATTAATTAATTGTTAAATAATAAAGGAATATATTATGCCGAATTTATTTGTGTATATGATTGTCTGTATCTCAATGCATACATGAGTTGTTAGATTGAGCGTGTGTTTAATCATTCGATCCATCAAATATAATTGACTGATTTTATTACTACAGTAGGATCAATAATAACATTGTAACGTTTATATTGATTTAGGCCCAGGTCAACTGACAATTGTTCAATGTTCAGAATAATGTGTCATGTTCACGAATTTTAGATAATTTTGTGTTCATTTAATCCAATGAGTACTGAATCTAAGTATTTAATGTTATCTACAACGATCTACCATGTTCATATTAATGCAGGTAAATCACCGGATGTAGAATGTAGATCGAATTCTATAGATCAATCAATTCTTGTAAATGTTTGAAATGAAATTTCCGATAAATAAAAATTACACTCTACTAGGTAGTGCTTACTATTTGTATATGAAGAAACAATAGAGTAACATTAGTCATTCAGATTTATAGACACAAAGAAATAATAACTACTGAATTATTACTATAGAGGGTTTCATGGTTTCAATCATGGACTGATTTTAGTTAAGCTAACATTAATAACCTGAAAGCAATGAACAATTGTTTCATCCTAACATAGGTCTCCTCAGCAATATACATCCACGACTTATATCATCCAATCAAGTGTTCGTATTTTCCCATTATTCATGTGTTAAAGATCCCAAATGATTACTTTAGATTTTCGGCATATAAGGAGTGAATCATTTCGCTGTATTAATTTAGTCATCATTATTTCAATTTGGTTGATCGGATGAATGCCAACTCAATAGTTTGGGTGTTATGCGTTCTCTCAAGACCGAAGGTCCTGGGTTTGAAACCCGCTTGTGGAGTTTTGGATATGCACCGCTAAGGAGTCTCATATTAGGACGAAGCAGTCATCCAGTGCTTCCAGGTTTTCAATGGTGGTCTAACATTTATCGGTTTATGATTTCAATGAAATACTATTTATTAGGTTTGATAATGACTAACAATGGTATCCAGGGTGTATGTTTCGTTTTATTTGGGAGTTGTAAGTTAGATAGATTTGCCACATCCCATTTTTTGATTGATTTTTCACGCTAAAACTCAAACCAGGCACATTTTATAGTGTTATCCACTGAGCTACTCAATCGAGCTTCTAAGTTCGGGTTTCAATACAGGAACATTTAGTTCACGAATCGTAAACAGAGTGAAACTTGTGTCGCTAAATCCATTGCTAGTCACCATTCGACATGACTGAAATCTTTTGAAATTATAATTTCAGGCTGATTTTTAAAAGTTTTTTTTTCGAATACAAAGAAAACAAATATCCAATGAATTACAGTTAGACTAATTTGTTTTTTGTATATGTGTGTAGCTATCAAGTGTTCATCATTTTTAGAATAATGCTTTTCCTCAGAGTATGGAGCTTATCTCTTCTATGTAAACTTCATAATAAGTTTTCTAC